GCCGCCCGTTCGATCCGGGCACCCGTGTTTGCGCGGGGCCGCGGGCTCACCAAGACGGCGCGGCCGGGCAGCGCCCACAGCCCCGCGCGTACAAGGCGGGCGGGTCGGCCAGGAGATGTTGTTGGGGGAGCGTGCGTGACAGTGACACTAAGGCGACGTGGGATCTCTGGTGTGCGCTGGGTCCAGCTTCTGCTGGCCGCCTAAAATGGAGCAGCGGCCTCTGCACCCCCCCCACCCCTGCTAGGTCCCTCCCCCACCAAAAGACGTCGGACCGGCGCGCCAGCAGGTCCCTCCACCTGGTTTCACGTTTATTCAAATGACAGAATCGCGCTCGGGCAGTGTCGGGTCCTCCTCCCTCCCTCTGGGCTCTACTGACCCCTGGTGGTATGGCCGGTCCAGGCGGGGACTGGGCCCCAGCCCTCGTCGCACCGCCTGTCCCCGTACTGCGGCAGGAGTGCCTTCAGGGACAGCTCGGGCAGCCGAGGGGGCAGTAAGGCTGTGCGGAGCGGAAGCCTGGGGAGCAGGTCAGCGGCAGGGTCGAGAGGGACCTCTAGGGTCAGATGGCCGGGGAGTAGCCCAAGGGCCCAGAGGGGTTCCTGGAGGAGGGGGGAGCCCAGGGCATGTGCTCGCACGTGATGAGGTGGGTGGGCAGCGCCTGGGTGTCGTGAAAGATGACGAAGATGCTGGGCTGGCGGAGGCAGTCCACGGCGCTGTCGTAACGCAGGAGCACGTGGCCCGGGGCCCGCAGAGGGGGCGCCCGCAGCCCGCGGTGGCCCTGCCCGTAGTCGCCGGTCAGCACGCGCGCCACGAACACCGCCTTGTGGCCGTCAGCGTTGGGGGGCGAATAGCGGTCTTGCACAGACAGGGAGGCGCGCTTGGCGAAGTACACGCCCTGCCCGTAGAGGGTGCCTGCGGGTGGGATGCGCGGGAGTCAGGGTCGCCCGGGTCCGCAGAGCCCACGCCCTTGCCCTCCCCAGGCCTCACCATTGCGGCCGCAGAAGCTGCGGTTGAAGCCGTATGTGCAGATGTCTGCAACAGCCTGCGCTGACGTGCCGTGGTACAGGACGTGCTCGGCCGGGCGGCGGTCACAGCGTTGCTCCAGGCGCTCCCGGTGCAGCTCATACTGCTGCTGCAGCAGCGGGTGCAACACGCGCTCCACCTGCGGTGGCGGGAGGCGACAGAGCTATTCGGAGACTCTCTCCAGCCCCTGGGCCGCAGGGGCAGAGCTGACCCGGGTCTTGGAGGTCAGAGTCAGGGGAAACTGCATGACTCCAGTCCTGCTCTGCCCAGCAGCCAACATCGATAGACATTAGTCACCTGGATGGGGCCCCAGGTGGCACTGGAAGGCTTCCAGGGAGGCCTGCACGTGAGCAAACTCAGCCACTTGCCAGAGCGCAGCACTCATGTCCAGGCCTCTATAGAGAAAAGCTGAGCCAGGTGTCCACACTGGGGACAGGACTTCCCTCCTAACACCAAGCGATCCGCACCCCTCCCGCCCCCCGCCCAGTGCCGGGAAGACCAAGGTGACCAGACCAGTGGTCAGTGATGCAGGAGCCAATCTGGGCACATAGAGTTTCTAAACTAGTCTACCTAGTCTCCGCAGAGGGGCGCAGAAGAATCTGTCCTTAAAAGACTAGCTGCTGTGAAAGACAACTGCTCTGGCAAACGGCAAGTCCTCACACTGAGAATGGCATCGATGAGCCGCTAACGGAAAATACTTTATTAAAAAGAACAGAATTGCTGACTAAATCCTGTGGGTGGGCCGCATAATAAGATGATGCAGGGGGAGTTAAGGAGTGACGCCGCATGCAGAGCTCAAGACAGGGGACGGAGGACTCCGATCTGCGGACTGCCACAAGAAGATGACAGACTGGTGACGGGAGCAAGAGAGGACAGAATGGAAGGCAGTTCCCCCGAGCTGCAGTTGGCATCTTCAGGTGGGAAGGCTCCATAAAATGCCAAGGACGATGGGGAAGGGACACATCCCTGCCACTGCCTGCTGGAAAATTTCAACCTCCGAAAAGAATGAATCTACAAGTGTCCAGACACACACACACACACACACACACGTCAACACACACATGGAAAAAAGTCTCGCGTTCTTGCACTGGGCTTATCACCGCCAATACTGGATGCTAAGGGACCATAGAATTTTTTTTTAACTTTGCAAGAACAAAAAAAAATTTAAGAGAAAAGAAAAAAAAGCAATGCGTTTCAAAGATCTGGAGACAAATATTCTGATCCTGAATATTCCATCCAGCCAAACTTTTTTTTTTAAACATTGTTAACTTTATTTTATTATTTTTTTACACGCCTACAGCCCTTGGTATTCCGAGGTGGAATCCCATCCAAGTACTAACCAGGCCCGGCCCTGCTTAGCTTCCGAGATCAAACGAGATCGGGCACGTTCGGGGTGGCATGGCCGTAAACTCCACCCAGCCAGACTGTTGATGGTGAGGACAAAATCGGAACATCTGAAGACAGGCCAGAACCAGCTGTGCTCATGTAAGTTAGCAGAAATGTCTCAGGTAAACACATAGCAACTTTTGTTTGAAAAAGAATAATTGATGCCAATATCAAATTATAGTTGCAAATTACCTCTAACTGTAAAAGGCAAGCTAAATGTAAAAGTCCAAGGTGTTTACTGCCCACTCGGGGAGACACTTCTACTAAACAGAAAAAGAATCTCTGCACTAGGGTGACCAGGAGGCATGAAGAGTGACCCAGCAGCCAAGCACAGCACAGAAAAAAATGGAGAAAGTGAAAAAAATTGAGAGCCATTAGTCCCTGAATTCTAGAACATTCTCTGTCATGTACCCCAGTTTCAACAACTAGGATTTTATTTCACTATTTGCTCTAAGGTTCAATGGTAAATATTTTTTCATTATCATTTTATATCCATTGACCTAGCGGCCCAAAGATGGAGCTTTGTGATGGTCACAGAATAGAAGGTAACGTTCGTCAACCTTGACGGCAGAATACAAAGAACACAGCCTACCGAACTAGGAAGAGGGGGGAAGAGCTGAAAGAGGGGGAGAGGGAGACCAGAAACAGTGTCTGAAGTTAAGTGAAAAAAGAGTCTTCCAGCGAGCACCACTGTGACTTTGGCTGCACCTTCTGAAGTCACAGTGGTGCTCGCGGGAAGACTCAAGGGCACGTAACTGAACAGCCAGCCAGGGAGTCGGGGATCTGAGTGAAGCCATCGCTCCTCCATCTCAACACAGAAGTGACAGCCGCTAAGCACAGAACCAGAGGAGAAGCCCTTTATCCAAACTCAGAGGACTCATCTGCAGGAAAGTGGTGGTGGCAGGTGGTGGCAGATGACTGGGCCAGGTCTGGGGCAGGCCAGAGGTTCTGCATTTCTGATCGGCTCAAGCCACTGAGGCTGCTGGGCTCACCCACATCTTGGTGCATCAAGAGTCAAGAGTACACCCGCCTGGTGTCACCAGCACAATGAGTCCAGCTCCCCGCTGTCCCTTCCTTCTCGCATGTGGCCAGCCCTCTGCAAGCCTTGCCGTCAGCCCTGAGCACTCAGCCCTGCTCTCTGCTCCAGCTGTGTCCACCTCTTCCCTTCCTTCTATAAGCGGCTCAGTTTCAGACTGGTCCCATTGCTCCCAGTTGCTCTCTGCTCCTGCCTGGCACTGCCCTCACACTCCCTGGCCAGAGAGCAGCCTGGGCAGAGCCCCTCCTCAGCCCTTGCCCCTGGCTGCGCTGCCCTCCAACACCTACCCTCATTGCCTCCCCAGTCCCTCCAAGTCTCCTCTCCTGGCACCCAGGCAGGGACTTCTGGGACTCCCAGGGTTACACTCCGGCCCCACCCATTGGTCCCAGCCGATTCTGAAGCGTGCTTATGCTGAGTTGCCACATTCAGTAAGAGCAGCAGTGAGCCCTCTGTCTGCTGGAGCAGATCCTGAGGGTGGCAAGAGAACCCCAGAACAGCACGGCGTGTCTGTGGAATGAGTAGTCCTCACAGTAGCCACGAGGTGGCATCCCCACCCCATGCTCTAGAGAAGGGAACTGGTGTGGAGAGGGTCACGCCCCTGACCTCCATGCCCAAGCTTTGGGAAGGCCCTCTGGGCAGGGACCAGGCCTGGGAGCCTGGTGCTCTCCATCCCCCTGACAGCTTCCAGCCCGCCCCGAGCTGGCAGCTCCTGGCCAGTGGACCCTGACGTGGGCAACAATGGCAGCCCACAGGCTCTGCAAGGTGAAAATGGTGCCATGAGCCCAGGAGGCCATGAAGCTGACAAGACAGAGCGTGGACTCACCCGGACGATGTGGATCCTGCCGTGGGCAGCGTCCAAGGTGTCGTAAAAGGCCTGCACCACCGTCTGGAATTCCCTGTCACTCTCGGCCAGACACTCCAGCCTGCCCGCGGGCCCCTCCAGCCTCTGCGGTGGCACTGACACACAGGGAACAGGGTCCGGGCCGTGCATGGGACACTGGTCCCTGAGAGCTGGCTCACCCCATCTACCCCCATCCCAGGTGCAGACTTACGGGTGGGGCACGAAGCCTCCAAGACGAAGGCCAGACCCTGATCCTGGGGTCCAGCCAGCAGTGCCGCTAAGTGGCAGGCCGCACGGGTGGGCTGGGCCCCAAAGCCACGGAGGACAGCGCCATCACTGTGAAGGACAACACTCACGCCATGGCGCCGTCCCAGGCGGGCACACAGCTCTGCGGGCAGCGTGTGGCCCCGCAGTCCCACTGTCTCCTCCCGGAGGTGAACCTCCAAGGCGGCCCCTAGAGCCCGATCCAGCTCCTCCAGATCCTGCTCAAAGGCCATGTGCACCAGCAGCTGGGCCGGGCCACCAGCCAGCAGCCCTTCCTCGGCCGGCGCCTGGACTGGCTCCAGCAGGGAGAGGGCCAGACCTCGCCGCAGCGCGGCGGCCTCCTCCCGCTCAGCCTCCCGGCCCTGTGGCTCCAGTGACCGGTGGAGGGCCAGCTGCAGCTCAGCCTCCTCCAGCCACCCAGGAGCCCCAGCACTGGGGGCAGGTTCCTCCTCGGGGTGCTCCTCAGGCTCTTCCTCCTCCAGCCCCTCGGGCAGCTGGTCCTCCCCATCCAGGCCCTCCAGCGTGGCCAGCAGCTCTCGGACCTCCTCTGGGAACAGGGAGACACACTGGGTGAGGGATCAAGCCCAGCCAGGTGGGGCCGAAGGAGAGGATGAGTCCGGGGACGGGTGAAAGATGGAGAGAGGGTTTAGGGGACATGAGGTCACAAAACAGGTGGGAGTGCAGAGCGGGGCGGAAGGTGATGTCAAGGAGGGACCACCAGATGTGCAGGGCATGCCCGGGGAGCCCTACCAAGGCTCAGGTTCTCCTGGTCACTGCTTGTACTTTCTGGGGGCCACAGAGCATGAGACTGGCCAGGGAGGGCCTGGAGGGCCTCGGTGGGGTCCGCCTGTCGGGAGAGAATGGCAGGGCCCAGTGGGCACACACCCCTCCCGGGCCTCTAAGCAGGGGTGCAAGAAGCACCGGAGACTAAGCTGTGAGAAAGAGGGGGGTGGGGCGGGCTCCATCTCTACCTCTTCAGGGTCTGTGTCCAGGGTGTCCCTGGCCAGACGCTCTGTCCCAAAGACACACTGGAACTGAGCCTCTAGCCCCTGGAGAAGGTGCTGCCCCTCTGGGCCGAGCAGGAAGCTGGCGCTGCCTGGGTGCTTCAGACTCAGCACGTGACAGCTAATGCTGCCTAGCAGACTCTGCAGAAACTCCTCAGCTGCCCGGCAGGGGCCCAGGGCTCCGCAGAGCTGCAGGACCACAGGGGGCCGGGTGCAGGTTTAGGGCACAAGAAGGGTACCCAGAACCTTCGGTGGGGGTGCAGGCCAAAGGGAGGATCCTCAGAGGTCACTCACCCGAAAGCCAGTCACATCTGATCCTTCCAGTGGGAAGAGGGCAACGTCTCCCAAGCCAGCCAGAAGGTCCTCGTGATAGAGCTGTATGAAGCGCAGTGCTCCCGGCTCCATTAACAGCACCGTCTCCACCGGCGCCTCCCGCCCTGGTGACCCCACGGGCCCCAGGCTCTCCAGCCCCTCCCGCCCCGGTGACCCCACGGGCCCCAGGTTCTCCAGCGCCTCCTGCCCTGGTGACCCCACGGGCCCTGAGCTGACTGGCCCAGCCTGTCCCAAAGACCCTATAGGACTTGTCCTGAGGAAGGTTTCTAATTGTCCTGGTGCCTCCTCAGAGCCCAAGGTCGCAGACCCTGCACCCTTCTGTGCCCTTCCTGGCCCTGCAGTTTCCAGGGGAGCATGCTCAGTGGCTCCAGGCCCCAACTCTGCCGAGTGGTCCTTTCCGCTTGTGTCCTCAGCAAGGCCCTCAGGCTCCAGGACATCGTAATGGGGAATGAGGCTCAGCTCTGAGCCCTGCAGCCAGTGTTCCCGCTGCAGCACCTGCTCGGCCGCTTGGAGGAAGAGAGAAGACAGGACGTCAGGGCTGCTCAGATGGGCGGCTGGGCCAGCGCGGTGCGGCCCCACTCACCTTGCCACTGCCGGAAGCAGACGACGGTGCCCGCAGCCCCGGGCAGGCGGCGCAGGCCATCCAGGGGGCCTCCCCCACTGCGGCGCCCGTTCTCCAGGTACAGCTCCAGCAGCAGCAGGTCGGCTGCCAACGGGCCGCCCACCACACGCACAGCTCGGGCCTGTGGCACCCGCGCCAGGGACACTTCGGCCCCCTCCAGGCCCAGGGTCCTGGCCTGCTCCTCCAGCGCACGGACTTCTGGGGGAAAGGCGCGAGTTGGCTCAGGGCATCTCCCCTGACAGGCACACTGCCCCAGTCCCGCCTCTCACCTGCCTCAGAGAGGGGCTTGGGCAGCTGGACCAGGGCCCGGTCCGGTCGGGGGCTGGCCAGGGCGCGGCAGGGCTGCTCTGGGTGCCCCGTGGCACACAACAGGGTCTGGACGTGCTGCTCCAGGCGCTGGGGGGTGGTGCCGGGGGGCAGTCCTTGGAGCAGCAGGCGTGCAGGGGCGCGTGGCGGGGCCGTCCGCAGGCTCAGCCGAGCACCTTGCAGCGTGTGCTCCTGGGCCAAAACCCGCGCAGCGTCTGTGGGCGGAGGTGGGTGGGTTGTCAGGGCCAGTGTCCCGTGGGGGCCCCGGCTACCTCCTTCCATCAGCCCCTCACCTGCAGGCTCCTGAAAAGTGAGAACGCCCCCATGGCCGAGTCTCTGCCAGCTCAACACGGGGCCCCCCCCAGAGCGTCGGCGGTTCTCGAAGTATAGCATCAGCAGCTCGTCGGTGACGCTGGGGGACAGCCCTCCGAGCTCCACTGCCGCCCCCTCCTCCGCCTCAACCTCTGCCATCACAGCCCTGGGGCCAGGACCAGGGGCGTAGGGTAACAGCCTCCCGGTGCCCCGCAGCCCCCTCCAGGCCTGCGGCAGTACTCCCTGGTGCCCCCTTCATCGAGGGCAGCTCTCCACACGGCCCCAGCACCTGGGCGGGCCCACCCGAGGCCCGCAGCCAGGACCCATGCCTGCTCTGCCGAAGAAGGCCTGGGACAGGAAAACAAAAGTGAAACTGTCTGAGGGAAGTTGGGAGGGGCCTGCGGTGCTGGGGGTGGTGGCTGCAGCAAAGGTGCTGCCCTTTCCAGGCAGGCCCCTCCTGCAGGAACCCCCCACCCCCGCATCCAGTGCCTGAGCCTGGAAAGTGCTCTCAGCCAGGTGTCGACTGGGCAACTACACTCCGTCCAGCCACCAGCCCCACCCAGCCCACCGGCTGGCAGCGTAGCGGGGAGTGACCCTTCGTGGTCCTCTACTCCTCCGCTGCTCCCTTCCTGCGGCTCTCTCGGGTCTTCCATTGATGGTCATTGCCATCATCGTTGTCAGCATGGCTAACCCCGGAAGGTGCGGGCACTGTGCCTCGCCGCAGCAACCCATCACAGAAGGGGAAACAGAGGCGCAGCCGGGGCCTCACACCAGGCTACCTCTTGCAGCAGAGCCCTGCCCCCACTGCCCATGCTTCGTTGGCTTCCAGCCTCTCAAAGAGGTGTGCTCCACCTCCCCCCTCCCACTGACCCCTCAGCCCACTGAAGCCCAGCCTCCAGGGGACTGAGGACCTACCCAGCCTACACTCCCACCCTGGTCTGAGCCTCCGCCATCCCTCACCTGGATCACTACATTAACCTAACTCATTCCCCTCTGCCACTCCCACCTACCTCCACTGTGCCTCCTCAACAGAGTGGGCAGAGGGAGCCTTTTAAAGTGCCACCGACAACTGCTACGGCTCGGACCGACATGGAAGCCAAAGTCCTTTGGAGGGCCTGCAGGCCCAGCCTGACTGGGCCCCCAATCCCATCTCTGGCCCCATCCCTCTGCCTGGACGGGCCTTTCCCATAGAGCTACCTGGCCACCTTTCCTCTGTGACTCCCCTTACATGGCTTGGGTGGCGGTTTTAACTTGCACCTGAAAGTCCTCTTTGAGGACCTCTGACATGCACAGGCCACTTCCAAGGCTCTGACCTCAACTTCACGTGCAATTTTTCATTATTTTTCTTAAAGGCTCCTCGAATCGAATGAGCTTCTACTTCCAGGAAGCTCCAGGGCCTCCCTGCCTGCTCTGTGATTCCTCTTTTCCTAGGGCTCCCTACCTCCTAACACGCTGTGTAACTCAACTCACTACGCAGATGGCTGCCGAAGAAGACCTGCCACAGGTGGCAGGGCGCTCCTCTCTGACCAGATTGTTAATTTCCACAAACCAGCTGTGAAATGGGGGGGTAGCTTGGTCTTGGCCATGACAGGAGTGTCGATGCCACACGCACCAGCTAAGGGTACACGTGGGCTCCGCCTCTCCAGACCCACCTGTTAAACTCTGAAGCAGCACGCCACAGCTCTGACAGCGCCTTTGCTGAACCACCTCCAGGCCTCGGAGAGGCCACCCGTGCAAGAGCCAGGGGAGCACAGCCAAGGCTGCAGGCTCCGGTGGAGAGGCACTGCTGCAGGGGGGCCTCCAAGAGGCCACCTGGCAGGGGATGTTCCTGGCTGTGGCAATCAGGAGGATTGGTGGAGCTCAGGGAACAAGTGCAGCTGGCCTGCGGGCCTGGGGCATCTCTAAGCCTCAGCCCCTTAGCGGTGGATCAGGGCTAAGGACTACATACACCCTTGCGGAGGGGAGTGTGATGAGGACAAGTGAGGATAAACGTCTCATGTGGGGCCTGGAATAGTTTGCTCTCGAGACCAAAGTGCTCTGAGCCCAGAGAAACCGGATCTCATGCCTGGCGGGTGGGAATGTAAAAATGGTACAGCCCCTCTGGGAAATAGCTTGGCAGTTTCTTTAAAAACTAAACGCTCACCATATGATCCAGCAATTGTGCTCCTGGGCTTTTATCCCACATAAATGACGCAAGAATCGGGCCTGGGACTCGGAAAGGAACCAGCAGGGCGGCCGCAGCGGGTAGAGCGGCCCTAGAAGCCCGGCATTCGCAGCTCGGCCCG